ATTTTGTATCTTGGATATTAGTAACAGTAGTATCTCTTGTGATAAAACTCTTTAGTGATGCGTTTGTACGAACTTCCATTGGTAAATAACTTATAAATAATTGTTTCCTTTTCTATTATTTCGATAAATAAATCTTCTAAAATAACATATGATTAGTGAGTACTAAAACTCTAAAAAGAAACAAACTTTAAATAAACAAAGTGCTCCATATATCTTTTTATTACCTTGAACATTAACAAAAACACTGTCAAATAATCCCATATCTTTAAGTTCATCATTATCCATATCTTCTTCTTTTGTGTCATCATTCAAATCAATCGATTCAGTTGAAGTACTTTCTTGATTTTTATGTTTCTTTTGAAAGATAATAATTTCATCTCCATTATCAACTGGTGTTCCGCTCATTGGTATTAAGAACTGATTAATTCACTTCTCTTTTTTAATTTTCTTTTTTTTTAACTAAACTAAAAACAAAATAACAAAAATAAATATAATAACAAATAATTTGATACTAGTTTTAGAATCAACCAAATAATTTTTCACAACTTTAGAACCCAAAGTAATCCTTTACTCTATTTTTTATTCTTTTTGTTATGTCACTATGTTTTTGTATATTAGATTCACATCAACAAAACAGATAATAAGGTTCCTTTAATAGAATGAACTTAATAATTAAGTAATTGTTGTATATTACTTGTTTCAATAATGAGGATATATTCTGTATGTTATAATCTTTTTGCTGTTATTTTGGTCAAAAGATTTATCCTACTGTGTATTTATTATGAAATGTGAAGAATCAAAAAACAACTTATTTGATTACTGAAGATATGAAATAACAAAAAAAATATATAAATGAAATATATAAAACAAAAAATGAAAATTCATCACCATTTTTGCGTTATTTAGAAAATTCAGTAGGAAGTACGAATGTAGTAGAATTTCCATGTTCAACAGTAGTAGCACCACTCCATGGGATAACCATCCATTCAACTGTTAAATTAACTTCTTTTCCAAGTAAATTATTATGGACGCTGACTAAGGGGTATTCAATTCTTTCGTTTGTTAATTGTAAATGAGCCCTTTCTTTCTTTCTG